AGGCGGAACACATCAATAGTTTGAGACAGTCAGACACGGCTCAGTCGTGTTCTCAATGGCGCTCATGCATCCAGTCTGCCTTCAATTCCTAGTTTCCCTCCCAGTCTCCCCAATGAAAAGTCCGTAGACTCTTATATTTACGCATCGTCTATATTAGATACCGCGTCCAATGCGTAGCTACCTCCCCCACCTCTCCAAATCGTTGATGAAGGAAACTATGACAGCTATAACCACTGTGCAGCAATTACGCGATTTTTGCAGCAGCTGCCCTGCTGAAGTGGTAAGTGCATTGTGTTCTACATAAATTACTCGCATTTTCCCTTTCTTGCAGATTCAAAGGCGAAAAAGGCCCGCGATTGTGAAGAAGCAAATACACCCTAACGAAGAGGAAAATTGTCTGTGCTAAAAATCGCAGATTTCCATCTTTTTCTTGCATCGTGACGTCCCAGACTGGGCTGAACAGTCCTCAATTACGTGTAACCGCTAATCATAGTTCTGGTGGAGAACCTTCGGTGTGGATGTTTCACTATGGAAGATTTAGGTTTTCATACTGAATGCGCTTTGGAATATCATAATAGAGTGGCGTGGTTTGTCGGTGTCAGGTAGCTTGTCGCGTTGGAGGATCAATATCTCACGCCGGATTTCCGCTGTTGGTGACGAGCGGGTGTCAATGTTCCATGACTGATACCCACGTGGCCCAACCGAGTCCATGTCTGTCTTGCAATTGGTAGCCTTTAAATAACTCGACGTGAGCACTCCTTTTTAAGGCTCTCAGTGGCCAGGAACAGGCGGCCTTCAGCAAATAACTAAAGAAGTCGCGTTCATTATCCGTATACTGAGCGAGCACGGACTCCAAACTACTATCTAACTATGCTCCTTCCGGGCTTAATTGTGCTTTCACATCACCCTCTGGGATGATTATATCCGTTCCTGTTGACCGGAGCAATCGCAACAGACCTTGAGAAAACCCATCTTTCTCAGTCTCGTAGCTGCAGTCGCTTGGGGCGTATGCTGGTACGACAAATAAACTGTTGCCGAACTGATGTACAGTGATCTTAACTGAACCATACTAGCTTGCATTTTACTGGAATCCAATCCAGTAAAGCGCTTTCGCCCCGGGGCTGGTTGCAACTCTCACACCGTAGATACCACGAGACTGTGTCAGGACTACCAGACACCCGATGAGTGAGATGTGGAATATTTGAGCTCATCCTAAGTCGCTTGAAGTGCATGACCGAAGTGGGATCTCGTATGCTTATTTCCGAGACACAACATACCTTGACAGAGAGAGATAGCAAAGCCTCAGAAAGAGGTGCCTGTCGCTCAGCTTGACAGTGAGTATGGATATTGAGGGCTGCAAAGTGGATCAGACCTTTTGAGTTTGGCAAGGGAATAGTTTGCTTTGTTATTCTGGTTGGTAGTCTAGATACGGAACAATGGCTAAGGGCATATGGTTCCATGGCAGTGCATCACTCCGTGGGTGGGGAGGGGATGTGGGAGACAGCCGATTAGCGAAGGACTGGAAGGGCAAACTATGATTCCCAGTTATTCAGACCAAACAAGGAAGTTCGGTTTAGTTACACACCTTGAGCCTTTGCTCAAAGTGGGTGGGAGTAGGGTTTTGTTCGCGGACGTTGCTTCTGACCTGGTATATGGCGTTACTCAATCCTAAAGCAGCCGCACGGTAAGTGCCTTCTGAACAGCACCAGGTTCTTTGGTTTTAAACTTATTCCGATAGTATTGAATAGTGCTTAGGCGGTGGCGGTCAACTGTTGGTTAATCGGCATGTGGGGTTTTAAGGACTGACCTTTTCAAACCCGTCCTTCCTGAGCAGAAGGCAGCATCGGTGCTTCGATGGATGTAGACATACTGGGGGAAATACCTTACTGCTTTCACCCTCCTATCGAAGAGGACAGTGTGACTTTACCCTCAGACCGCCTCGCAATACGATTAATCGCTGTTGGTCGTCGGGCTACTCCCCTTTGGCCTTCCTGACATGGCTGAACCCATAGGAGCCGAGTTTCAAATAATATGGCCCACAGGACCATCGCAGCACACGCGCGACTACCACAACAAGGTGAGAGCTTTAGGCCGGACGTCTGGTTATGGATTTTTAGGTTGTATATGGGCTCACACTGTCAAGGTGCCCGAACCGAAAATAACGCCCACGGTATAGATCAACGAGCTGCAAGGTGCATAGACTGTGACACCGCGATGATTAGTACTGTCAAACAAAACGGGATGTATCATTATCATGACGAAAATTTGTGTACTAAACCATACACCTATTTGTTGTTGTCGGCCAACCTCGAAGCGCCATGTGAGATGCATTCCTTTCAGGAGCCAGAAGTTAAGAACCAAAGCGTAACATTGCAGCCGGCGGAAGAGCAGAAACCGGAGTTGTAGCGAGCGATACGGTTGGGTGAAATGGGCGGAATCGAACGGATACAAGTCACTGGATAAACCTGTTGAGTGGAGGAACTGATGGTGATTTAAAAAGAGGATAAGTGGTTAAAAGCAAGTCACTGTTGCTATCCGGGTTTCAAGTCGAAAACGAGGCGGTCTGGGTTAGGAAGTGGGCTTATTTTTGCCCCAGAAAGAATATTTACTGTGATGCAATTGAGAACACCTTTCAACAACTTCCAAATACCTAACACTAAGTTAAGGGATGAGATGCCCGTCTATGACTCTTTGTTACTTTCCTTTGTTTGTGGATGTTCTGCACACTGTGGGACGTACTACACGGTGCCTATCCCCAAGGATTGCCGGGCACATACCATCATGCAAGCGTCTTGATAAGCAGGACCGGATAAATCCGGTGAAACCGCACCTTTCAAATGTCGCCAAATCGCTCCATGGTTGAAGCAACTGATTCTATCATCAGAACATTCACCTGGAAGCGGTGGCCCTGCGACGATCCCCTGTCAAAGCCCCATCAACACAGTTATTGTGGGCTGCTATTTGTACCACAACTTTGTTCATTATTGGCGTTATTGACCACTTACATTTCGACCTGCTCTTCCATTAAACTCTCATATTACTTAGATGTGTTTTCCTTGGCTAGACCGTATTGGAATCGCTTGGTTGCAATCCGCATGATGTATGTGCGTACATAGCAAATACAAAATCGTGTGTCACGGATGGTGTGGTGATGCAACACATATGTTCACGCCAAAACGACCGGTTTTCATACAGCAATTGTCCGCTAATTTGTATCATTTTTGAAACTGTGAGCCCCAAAAGGCAATTTTAAAACGGTAAAATTTAGCTCCCCTTGTATTCTAAAGGTTCGTTTCATGGGTAGAACTCCATTTTGATTGATTACGTTCAATAGATCTAAGCACGTAATATGCCTTTGTCGTAAATAACGGAGGACATTATTTGTTTTGGTAAAAAAGCTTCGTTACGCTGTCAAGTGCAGTAAAGCTCAACGTAATCCTCCCTCCTTATTAAGGAAAGGAGCTGTTGGCAATATGAACTTCAGCTCTTCTTTAGAATTCCGTGCAGTAGAGGGGTCTTCAGGACGGATTTCGGGCCAGAAAATATATACTTATAGACATGGCGGCCTCTCGTACGTGTGTCCGTTGATAACCTCGCGTTCGTCTTTGGTACACAATGAGAAGTGTGGATGAATCTTACTCAGGAACATTGTAGTGCAGTCGCTTGCCTCGTGAGAAACACTCGGGTTTTAGAGCGTAATTCAGGCAAAAACACTGGAGCACAAATTTCCCTGTGGGTACGGCTAGTAAATGGTGTCAATGAACAGGACATTTTGTGCTGCTTTATACATATGAAACTGAAAAGTTAGATGTGACTCTAACGTGACCCACATTAATACTGGAAAGCTCGTGCACATAGAGCTCCAAATGAGACTGCAATAAGCAGACTTTCTGCTTGTGATCAAAACAGACAGAAAACATAACACTTCAATTGGTAGCGCAACGTCTTCATTTTATCTTCCTTTTTTTCTAAAGATAACAGGAATAACCCAGAGGACAAGAGAAACTCTGATTGAATTCTAGACCTCAAAGCGGGTCTACAGTTATTTTCATAGGATTTCTTGATGAGTTTACTCGGATCAAGTGGAGAATATGTGCGAGTCCTTGTTAAGACGTTGAAAAGTAATCCTTTCGTGTATATTCATGGTCTTCACCTTCTTTTGAAGCATTACTGTTTTCAAGAAATTTTCAACTGGATCGGTCGGCGATTCCAGTCAAGTGACGAACATATCACCGGTGGTATGACGTTGCATGTCTTCTCAGAGTTGAGAAAACTGCAGTATTGCTCCTGAAGGTTGGTCCTTTAGGATGCTTATCGCTTGATTTGGGGGTGCAGGTGAGAAATCACTGGATAGGTCGCCTATTAAAAAATTAAGCCCGGGTCATTTTTTCATTCAGCAGGGCCGGAATGCCGACATTAGACCTTACAATAAGAACGTAGTCTCATTTGAGAACAGTTGCTGACAAGTGACGCAAAAACCAACTTTCCTAGGCAAATGGTCCAAGTCAAGTGTGGTAAGTCTCCCATGGGGTTGTCGAAAGGCGGACTGTCTTTACCTGCATGGATAATCCCTGCGCGCGTTTTGTACAGCTGGTCGCTCTGAGTAATCGTCTGAAAGAACTGCCCAAAACCAGTCACTTTTGAGAACTGAGCTTCTGAGACGTAGGTGATTGTATGAACGGAGCTGCCGCACTGCCCGAACTAAACAGTCCGTCGTAGTTTTTGATGTAGATATCTTCCAATACGCTGACAGAACGTCTCAGCTGGAAGGTAAGAAAATCAGACCCATGGTAAGCCTCTTAAAGGATAACTGGAATACAGTAGGCCCACAAAAACTGCTTGGTTTCACCATTGACAAGCGATTTCGGAGGCCATGCGTAGGACGCCTGTCCAAAGAATCCAACTTCAATCGCCAGTTTAAATTTGACAGTTTACCTAGCTATCTATCAGAGTAAAGGAAGAGAAAATCACCCAGCGTTTCTGAGAAATTTTATCCATCTGCCAAAGTTACCTTTGGGTGCACAAAGGTCTTCAAAAAACAATAGTGGAATTAGAGGCATACTCAAGAATGCGAAGTTAATAAAAAACAATCCAGACTTAGAGAACTCTCAAATAAGAAAATGAGGGAATCACTGGGACTTTCATGTCAAACAGGAGGCAGAAGAAGTCGAAGCTGAGGAAACAAATGCGAAAAACTTATCAACGCCAGGGTATCCTTTTAACACGAACTCGGTTGTTCTCGTTCGACCGAACTGTCGTTCTGTTAGGCTTGTCATTAACATCATTTAATGATTCAGATGCGTTCGTAATACGTATACGTGGACTGCATCGGTCAACTCCAAGAAACGGGCGGATAGTGGTTGTAACTTGGATGCCGTGCCAGTGGGTGGATCGGTTTGACTTAGGTCGTGGAGGTGGACGTTTTGCGGGCTACATTTATGAGGAATACAAAAGAGGACAGCGAAGCCACAGATATGTATTGGAAGAACAGGGAGGTCACATAGCCTGCTGCCGTCTAATTATGAGATAGGAGGGGGAAATTACATTCGGTTTTGCATCCCCATAATTTACAAAAACTCGCTCTATGACTCCGGTTTGTCGTAGTCCTAGGTAAAACTTATACTCAGCATGCCTGACTGGATACATCTGAACGATATCTTAATACGTTTGTCCTAGATAGCGTGGGCAAGTCATCCTTAAGCCACTTTGAGATTAAGACTCCTAGTAGGGGCTTTAATAAAAAATATCAACAAACGTTTGCTGCTGAGGATAACTTTGGTAGCTCCGGTAGCGTAGATGGTCGCTGGTTTCCTCGCTGAGCTGGGTAGTTTGATTACAAGAGTTTCATCACCAGTGGACGTCATCAATGTGTTGTTAGGGAGTGGAGTAGAGCGTACCAGTGGGTCAGTGGTTGTGCGTTGAGTAATGGTGCGTATGTGTTGTTTTATGCGTGGTGTTAGCCAGGGCTCACCTTTGATCGCAACTGGTTGTTTGGTCCGATGACCACATGACCTTTGAGCATGGCCCTCCTTGCTCTCGTCTGCTGGTTGCTACTGGAGTGATCTCTGTCCTTGAGCTCCCTTGGTATAACTTTGTAGTATTTATTGATCTGACCCCAGGAGTTTCTTGGTATCTCAACCCGATAGTCGGCTGTCCGAGTATCCTGGTTGAAACACTGGTCCTGTGTACTTAGTGGTGTGTTGATAGGATCTAGTTCAATGCGTCGGTTAACCAAATCAGTCGTGGAGTGCCGTGTTTTCAGAAATTCCATTGTCTCATATCCGCATGCGAAGATTTTTACGTCTTTGAGATTAAAAATGTCACCATCCCGGGACATACAAAGGATAGAGAATCATGTCTCCTAGTGGTCGCATTGTGCTCCTCTATTGATGTGCATAATTTCCTCCGATCCTGTCTAACGTAGAAACTGTTGCAGTTGATTTGGTACATCACATCGTTCCCTTGGTTTTATCAATGTTGCCCTTCGGTCTTGAAATCAACTTCCGTAAAATGGCACTACCATGATTCCATTTTGAGCTGATAGTCTGACTGTGAGTTCAGAAGTATTCTTGATGTAAGGTAGAGCTACCCGTCTGGTCCTTGTTGTTGTCCTTGCTGTTGTTGATTTGTCTTCTTTAGCTATGTGGTACTAGTGTTTTCACCATCTTGAACAGAGTTTAAATGCAGCTCCTTTTACTGTTGATCGGGTGGTTGCCGTTGTAGTTCACTGTTTGATCCGTATATGCTTCTTTCCGGTTCATGCAGGTTTCAAGAGTCCCATCCGTCTTTCTGTTCAAGAATGTTATTCGGTTGTCCCTTTCCAGTTTGAAAACTGAACCGTAGTATTGAGCAGTTCACTAGTATCATATACAGAATCTCACTTCGTAGCGGATAAATCCTTATATTGAAGAAATCACTGGAACGATAGAGAATGAAGTCTGATGGCACCAAAATTGCACAATCTTACGACTACCAAAGGAGGATGGGACTGTACTTCCAACATTCGTTTAACTTCCTGTAAGTCCATCTTACTTATTGGCGAAAAACCTGTGGAGAAGATTGCAACGCTTGATTCTTGATCAACACTACTGGCCAATTTTTAAGCAAACTACGGAACATCAATATGGAATATGACTCGTGATTCGTACTAGCATCAATTTCGAAAAAATATCGAACACGTTTATACTTACAGGGAGCATTTGTCGTTTGATCTAGAACACACCACTCATGAGATAGCTAAGAAAATATTGATAGCCCACTCCCGATGCCGCCATTTTTTAGGATCATCAGGTTCCGTCAGCCTTATTAGTAGTATGTTATGGTGAGATAACTGCAGGAACGTCCACTAACTTAATTCCAGAGAGCTGGCAAGCGGCGTAATAAGTAATGGTTCGTCTGTCATGAAAATGACGCCGCCCACTGAATGAGTCACCATGAAACGGAATCAACAGCAACCCTTGGGTTACAGAGAAGAACGGCTCGGCTCTTCAAGTTACGAGTGGAAAAAGTGAAAAAAATGGCGGAACAGACCAAGAGTTGCCACCAGGAGGAGATATCGCTTTGCAGGAGTCTAACTGTAAAAAAAACTGAGGTAGCTCCACAACTGTACCTCTAAGATAGGTGCCGGTCAACATAGAGTTTTAGTCGGGAACGTACTGGTTTTCGATATTCTTTTGATGAAAACTTCCTAACGCTGCTCACGTGGTTAGGTCGAGTCGATGCATTGACTTCTTCACAAAGACAGAACTGATCCACTGGAACATATGCTACAAAGTCGGGTGATGTGGGTCTCTCAGCACGATGAAACGTCGGTTTGTTGTCGGAAAACATCCACGCGGGTGGAATGGACGCTTTGGTCCTTTCACAAGGTTCAGATACACGTACTTTGGGTTGTTCAGCTTCGACAAAAGGCCGTGAGGGTGATTCAGAATTCGGATTAGGACATATGTGCGTATGCTTTGAAATCCGGTCATCATTAGGTGTGGTACATGATGGATGCGTGCTGTCCAGTAAGTGCTGAAGTCTTACAACAAGCTGCTCAAGCCATTTGCGAGAAACAACCCCACTGGCTTCTTTAGTAAGCGTCGTATCCTCGTTATTTTCTCTGAGGCAAAAGGGAATGGGAAAGGGTTAAAAAATATATGGTTCCTTACTGACTCAAGCGAAATCACACAAAACAGGGAAACATACAAAAATGCACACAAAGATCTGAGTAATGCAGTCCAAGAATTTAAGGTGCTGAATTGCTCTTAAGGTACCCGTCTATGTGCGTTTTACACAATCTGGCGAGTGGAATGCAATAAAATACGCGGAACCGACTGAAGGTCGGGAGTCTTACCAGGACATTTCACCTAGCAATCAAACAGCGCACCAGCCTAACGCCCACAAAGCAGAAAAAGTGACAATCAGTACGCCGTTGGTCCTTGGCTGTTACTAGTAACTTAGAGGTCTCATTGAGTTTCATAAACTACATGTGAACAAACGTACTTCAGTGGTGGACCACGATTACTCCACTCATTCTCAGTTCACATTTCAGTAGGCTGGTTTAACTTTGTACTTACTGGTGCCGTTTACCCAAGAACTCCATTAAAAGGTACGTCTAAGAGGCCCATCAAACGGCATATGGATAAACTACAGGGACTACCATCGTGGAAAACTATTTTTGACCCGACTGAAAGGACTGTTTCCTGTAGGGAAGAGGCCCGATCAAGAAAAGTGAGGGGAGTCGTTTTAAAGTGTTACATACATTGAATTACCCAAGAATTCGCCAGGACGTTCTTTACAATAGTTGGCTTGTAGAGAAAAACCAGTAAAGGATTGGCATTGCAGTACAATAAGAACTACGGTGTACCACCCGATTATACTTCGACCTAACAATCATTGGGTATGAGTATGTAAGATGTGGGGCCGGAATGCTGAAAAGTATTGTGGAGACGGCAGTAAGACACCATGGCCGATCGCTTACATATCATTGGTGGCAAATTTGGCAAACGGGGCTGGTGCAAAGAAGCCCAAGAGCAATGACAATGATATTCCCCATTTCAAAGTCATGAGCGATGGACCGGATTTTATGGTTTTGTGTATCCGTCGACGCCATTCCAAACATAAAGAAAACTGATTCAACTCATGTAGGTAGGCTGTTACGAATCACTAACAGCCCACAAGATGATAAATGGTAAATGACAAACAGAGAAGGCGTAGTTGAAAACATGTGATGAAAATGTTGATAGACCCATTTAAAGCCGCTTATAGGGGTGATGCGCTCCACACTTGGCATTGTCAGCCTATCATTAGCTTGCATCTGATTGGTTATGCGAGTGAAGTCCGGTTCCGCTTCTGATCCTAGCAGCATTTTTCTATTCTATGCTCGATGTCTAAGTCAAAAGTTCAGTCAGCTCAAGAGTGACCAATAGAAGCCTCAGGAGAAGGTTCATGACCCACGCAGTTTAGCCACAGAAATGGAGTTATATTACCTTGTCTTACATGATGTATTTCAACTAGTTGTTCTTTGAGTTCCACTATGTGCATATCAAATCAAACTCCTCAACACCATGTTGGTCCTCTGGAGGCGTAGGCACCTATTAACACTATCAGTAAACAGGAAACATAAATTTCCTGAAGAGTATGTGTATTGATTGAAGCATAATGACGAAAAACTCCCGTCCATATTCAAACACACTATCATCATGGCCCTAAGGTATCACCTAAAAACATATTTCGGGCGTATGGTAACCGAAAGAATTATGGGACGTGAGAATCTATTCCCCTTAAACGAAAAAATAGGATATGCGCCACATAGATGAACCTGAGGTCGTTTAAGGAAAGTAGACCTGCACTTTTATCAACAGGAGATAGAACGTTTACTCATTGTAGGCTCAGAATGGGATAGCAATTTTGGATAGCCGCGTTACATTCCGTATAGCTTCGTTATATTTGTACCATAGAGAGGTGCCAAATCATCCTCAAAAGAATTTCTGTGTGACCTCATAAGTTTTACCCTCATTTTTAAGCACAAAGGTAGTTCCAATAACCAAATGTATTTAGGTGAGGCCAAACTCTTCTTCAGCAACAGTGGCTTGCGACGGAAATAGTCTCAGCGTCACGTGGGAGCGTGATCAATCCTGATGTTCTGGGACATAATGAAGAGCCCTTTGAAGAGAGAGACCACTCATCCAGAGATTTCAGGTAAAGCATCCTTCACCTAATTTTTGTTTTCGGTCTCTGAGGCTCCAACCCTACCTCTTCAAGGAATTCACAACTCCCTAGTTTGGGGGTGATTTTCCTCACTGCAAGGGTTACGATCCTAGGCATCTGTTGAAAAGTATCATTTGGTTTCAAGTGAAATATGAGGTTGAGGACAGTCACTGCCTGCGGCTACCTTGAAAACCCCAAGAAGAACGAAACCGATAACGGCTGTCGGAGAGTTTTAATTTAGCTTATGAGTGGTGTCCCTTGCAGTGTACACACTCCAATAGCCACAGGCCAATTCCGCACAGGAAAACAGCACAGGCTAGTAGAATGTTCGAAAACTGAATGACTACTCCAAATTCAATGTTAGAGATATATTAATACTGGGAAGTATCGATCGTAATGTCAGCATGCAATGGACAACACCAATTCGTCTTCCTAGTTCCGCTCCGATATGGTCGTTGGTCGTAGAATACTGCACAACCACTTTCCAGTTTTATGAACGATTTGTGGGAATTCAGTTGCACTAGGATACAGGTGGATAACTCTGTAACCTAAGTACATTTCGGGGATAGTGTTCGCCTATCAGCGTATGCCATAGTGTACCCAGGATGCAGTTCCTACAGAGGTCAATAGGTTTTGTGTTGCTAAAGGAGTTATGACCTCGGAATCTGAGGAAGAAGTTGATGGACAAGCGGGCAGTTTTTCTAGAAAGATTATTGGATGAGTTTGTAATTTTTCACGAGTTATCGTTCATTCACCTTTTAAACCACTCCATCGACTATATTGCGCACGGTCTAGATGTCTGCTGAGATGCCGACAAGAATCTTTCGAAAACAAAGTGGAGAAAGCAGTTGATAGCTCATTGGAAACGCGAAAAATTCGTTTTGTACCAAACGTCGTAAAAGACCGAGAAATTCAGAGTGAGTCCCTATATAAAGTTGAAGTTAAAGGCTGTAAGAGATATCACCACGAGCATTTAAATTCCTCGTGCAATTTTTCGTAATCGGGCATGTTACCCTAGAATCCTGAGAAAGCAGACATACAAGAGGTCGAAAGACTCGTTTTCACAGTGTCCCAATTTCTGAAGGTATTACATATTACACTCCCAAAGAATTCATCCATAGTACTAGTTACTGGATAAAATGCTGATCAATCGAGACCTCGAAGTGACTGACTAAGACTAATACCGTAGACTGAACCAAGAAGGTGAACTGCAATAAACTTACTTCTTTGCGTCACTATTATATCTGAAGACTCTGGCAGTTCCGGCAAAAGCTGTATGGAGCCTGCTCTCGACCACCTTACATTGAACAGACTTCTGGTGATCGGAGTGCGATATTACTGCCTTGGACATGTGATATGTGGGAGTTGAAGTGCTAGCAGTCTCAAAAATGGAATATTGTATGTTCATGTTCTGTAGAGAGGCTGGGTACGGAGTAGCCTGCTTAGATGGAGCCTTGGAGGAAGTGAGAAATTGGACGAAAAGATTACTTGAACTGTGATAGTGTCAAAAATAAGTCATTTTTGAGAAAGAATTTTATAACGGTTTGTTAGCAAATGTCAACGAACCGGACGAGCCTTTCGGAGGCGCATACATCATCTAGCATAGCGACAAACCTTTTCACCATAACTTTGGTGGGGATGATGTAACGGCACGAAAAGCAGTCCCGAAGCATAGCGTAGTCCTTTTGGTGTACCACATTCCAGTGGTAATTGGTTCTTTCCAAACTTTGAGCGTATCACGTTGATATTGACACAATGGTCAACTCATTCAATCTGCTGGATAGTGAAGCTCTATCCTTATGATGACACTACCTTAGCTGTTCATTCACAGGCCGGTGCACCTCTTTCTGAAACTTATATCCTTAACAAGGATGCCTTCCGGCGGAACAGTGAACACACCGATTTCCAAGGCAGCATTCATCTAAACCGGGGACAGAGCATTGAATCAGAGTAATAATAGCTTCTTGCTCCTTGTGAGAGCTCTGTTTCGAGGGTTCAGGCCTCCTGCTATAAAAAACGATGACGTTTGTCAAACTATACAATTTCATAAATAAAAAATCAAGACAGCATGGTAGTGCACTTAGTATGACGCTTGCTCAAAGCAGGATCATATCTCCTAAAAATGATACACACCTCACTGTACCTGGAGTGACAAGGGGTTTGATATCCCAGGATGTCATTACGCCGTTTTCGTGCTGTAAAAAGTTGATCAGGACAGTTTAGATTTTGTATCGAAAAGCCTATATGCGCTGTTAAATCATTTTAGTGCGGTTAAGAATCATCATTGGTGCCTACCTCACAAACCTCGATGAATATTGAAAGCTCCACTAATTCTAACTATCGCTAAATTGCGTTTATACGGGACAAGGCATCACGCCTTCGTCAACCTTGCAGTTCATATCGCATGAACTGGCGGTGGTCCGCTTTTTTAGTGTTTTAGGTGAATCAGTTTCTCAGCCGATTATTGAGCAGGTAGTGATATCTTCACGTAATTCTTGGATTAACAATGCAAGACAAAGCTGAACATGGATGAAAAAGTAAGAAGCATTGTGCAAACCAGTTTTACTCCAATTGTCTCTTAGGATGTCACTTATTAAGATAACTATAAGCAGAACACACCTGCTACTTGTGACATGGGTCCACTCTGAGGTAGTTTTGGCACTATTATTGCACAACAGGGTGAAACAAGTAAGATGTGCGTCCTGAGTTAGCTAAGTTTAAAATGATGCTTAAAAATTACTGTGTTAGTTTTAACCGAAATCCCAATGGAGGAGACACCCACGAGGTATTTTTACATCACGCCCACGAAAGATTCGATTTTGGAGTTAACTGATTACAATATCCGAAATTAGGCAGTTCATAAACAAACGAAGACAGATTATTAAAAATGCAAACGCGCCGTGAAACCTGAAAGAATGTGGGTATTGAACAGCTTCCTGTGGTGTACAATACCATACCTTACTGTAACGCTGTTTCGGATCAGCTGTTCAACTAAACGGATTGGACTGGACCACAGGCTGAGTAGCAGCTTGTAAAGGCTCGATTTCTCATTCGCGAACATTGATCTTATCAATGTTCGGGATCAACTATGTCCAATCCTGTTCGATCATTTGAAAAACAACACTGGTTGGGGGTATCCAGAGCCAAATATCCACTCCAAAACGAGATAAAGATGAGCACACTAATGCCAACAGTAATTCAGAGAACCACATCTTGAATTCAAAGTTCTCGAAACAATTCAAACTGACATTCGACCAATGACCCTCATCCATTAGGAAACATCAACACAATACAAGTGAGCTTCCTCGAAATATTATTCTGGGAGGAACAAGACTGACTCATTTTGAGGGCTCTGTTCTAGCGATTACCAACATGACCAAAAATAGCTAGCGGAAACCTGACCAGTGTACCACCACGTTTAAACCTGTGTGCAGTCCAAAGAAACAGATCATCAGTAAATTTCCTCACGGAAAAGTGCAAACAAATTATGTATCTATTCCTGAAACGGATGAAATGTTTGGGATTCGCGGAGCCCTATTGTGCTACTGGTCAAGACGTTAGATAGTGGGCAGCTACAATAAAGGGGAAAAATAGGCTACTATCCTCAGAAACCTAGTTGCATACGACAATTAAAGGTACCGGAGAGGTGGGGGCGGCACATTAAGATTGGAAAAATATTGGGCGACTGGCTTTGAAGCAGAACAGTTTTCACGAAACAGCTAGCATAGGACCAAAACATACGGGCATTGAGTTGTAATTTCCAGCAGCAACTCCGCAATCTCCCAAATACATGCCGGCGCCCGGTGAACATTTCAGCAAGGACGCGGTAGGCTGTTTTCTTGTCTGGATATTTTGTCCCTCAGTTTCGGAGTTTAGCGTCATCTCCACCTGAGGCGTCGTTAAAATGGGCAGCGAAGACCTAGTTAAAGGTATATCTTCACCGAATGAGCTTTCTGGGAATGGCCTCAGGCTTTTATGACCGCCGATGTTTCGTTTAGTATCCGATCTAGTTGACAGCAGCGTTGCGTCGCCAGATTTCACACACTGTCGAAACAATATTTCAGCTTGCTTTGTAGTAGAAGTGGGGTCTTCGTCGTTTGTAGATGGATGAGAAAAAACATTACTGTTAAATGTCCCGGGGAGGGTGCTGTTTGCAGGATCCAGCGTTCTCTGAAGAATACAATAAATATGCTAATTAATTTCACAGATTGTGTGAAATGGAACAGTTACTACAGAAAATGGTGAAAATTTGTGAGCTGTAGATAACAGGAAAATAACCTTATCTCAGAAGATTTTACTCGTTTGACTCAGTATCGGAGGATATAAAATCATTCAGTACTATCGTCACAGGCATACGAATACCTTTCGGTTGACAGCTGCTACTAATAAGCATGCGCTGGAGAACAGTTATCACGTTTTTGCCCGTAACTCCCATGTAGCCGTTCGGTTTGAGAATTTAAAGTTACATTCAGCCTGGAAAGGCTTTTATGTCCAAGGAAGAAAACAGACTGTTAAAATCTGATTGTAAACTACTAAAATATCAATAAATGCAATGCTGGTGTCACCTCTAAAAGTTGTTGGAAGGTGCTATACTTGGAATGGCCTTTCTCCTTGATAGGATCACTCTCTGCTGGCGCAACATCTTCACCCTGAATACGATCTACGTGGAGTACTTTTAAACTTATGTGAAATGCATTTTTACGGGGCGGTGCGTATCATCAGTATCCATCAGTAGATTAAACTGATATTGCATACCCAACTTGGGTTCACATCTAACGAGTAAGCGCTCGGTTTCATGCACTTTTCCTTGCCTTGGTGGGTACTTTGCAGATGTTTGGTGCATTCAGCTGAAAAGATTCCGCTATCGAGGGTTGTGATGTTGTGAAAAGAAGTTTGGTTCCAACAGTCACCTGAGAATAAGAAAAAACGTCAGTAACGAGAAAGCGACAAACAGGGGATCGTGAAACCTAAATGCGACATACGTAAATCCAATTATTGTAAAAAAGGACGAACCAAGTAAGCCTATTACACTTACGCAATTCTGCTCAGTTGGACGGCATAAGTAAAGCAAGAGATCCCAGCAATTATTACCTCAACCAAAAACTATGGTTAGCTTCAGAGCTCCCAGCACAAGTTTGTGAGAAAATTCAAAGCGTAGCCAGATGGCTTAGTGGCCAGAGCGCGAATTTACTGACCAGATGATCCGTGGTTCGAATCCGACCTCTACGTCTTGACTTCTCCTGTCTAGGCTTGGGCGACCTGGCAGTATCCCAGCCATCGTGGTTCCTTCGGGTGGCATGGAAGTTAGGCACCGAAAAGGTGTTACAGCTGAACAATTATTGTCCATTATTATTAATTTCTATCAATGTTGGTATTATGTTCCATGGAGTTCACGTGTTATCACAATAAGATTTCCAAAGCTGACGTTCGCTGACGAAAATAGTTATCTCCAAGTTCCCCTATCCCCAACTAACTCAGTTATTTCATAATTTCGGCGACTCCGTCATTTTCGCAAGTGAAACAAAAACGTTGGTGTTTGGCAAACTATCGGATAACTCATCCCCAGTTATCAGCACTGCAAATTAACCACAAGCCCAAGCTTGAATGGATGAATTTTGCTCAGTATAGTATAGCACGTACTCGAAAGGTCAGAGGGCTCAACTTGGACGAAAAGTAATAATACCGTCCCAATTACGAGGAACCATCGTTGCAGTTCCGTGCCAAGTTTACAGTAACTCCTTTTGAGAGGCAGTCAACGCGGGATCAAACAGTGACCGCTCAGTAGCTTTACGCATCGATGGCTTTAGCATGCGTAATGGCTATTCATGTGAACACCGGGGGTGAGACGCAGCATTATTATTAATTTCTATCAATGTTGGTATTATGTTCCATGGAGTTCACGTGTTATCACAATAAGATTTCCAAAGCTGACGTTCGCTGACGAAAATAGTTATCTCCAAGTTCCCCTATCCCCAACTAACTCAGTTATTTCATAATTTCGGCGACTCCGTCATTTTCGCAAGTGAAACAAAAACATTGGTGTTTGGCAAACTATCGGATAACTCATCCCCAGTTATCAGCACTGCAAATTAACCACAAGCCCAAGCTTGAATGGATGAATTTTGCTCAGTATAGTATAGCACGTACTCGAAAGGTCAGAGGGCTCAACTTGGACGAAAAGTAATAATACCGTCCCAATTACGAGGAACCATCGTTGCAGTTCCGTGCCAAGTTTACAGTAACTCCTTTTGAGAGGCAGTCAACGCGGGATCAAACAGTGACCGCTCAGTAGCTTTACGCATCGATGGCTTTAGCATGCGTAATGGCTATTCATGTGAACACCGGGGGTGAGACGCAGTCGGATTGCAACTAATTCAGATGATCATGGAGGTTGCACCTTGATGAAACGAACCACTGAAATCACTTCTCACTTTACTGATTTCCTACTTTACCGACCAGAGATGATCAGGTGTTAATTGCAACAATGTAGTCAGCGCATTTCGAGGGACAGGAAGGCATCTGCCAACGCCTGCACATTACCATTCAGGAGGATGTGGTTTAATTAACTAAGGGATGATGCCTTTCCTGGTTTACAGTCACCTGAGAATAAGAAAAAATGTCAGTAACGAGAAAGCGACAAACAGGGGATCGTGAAACCTAAATGCGACATACGTAAATCCAATTATTGTAAAAAAGGACGAACCAAGTAAGCCTATTACACTTACGCAATTCTGCTCAGTTGGACGGCATAAGTAAAGCAAGAGATCCCAGCAATTATTACCTCAACCAAAAACTATGGTTAGCTTCAGAGCTCCCAGCACAAGTTTGTGAGAAAATTCAAAGCGTAGCCAGATGGCTTAGTGGCCAGAGCGCGAATTTACTGACCAGATGATCCGTGGTTCGAATCCGACCTCTACGTCTTGACTTCTCCTGTCTAGGCTTGGGCGACCTGGCAGTATCCCAGCCATCGTGGTTCCTTCGGGTGGCATGGAAGTTAGGCACCGAAAAGGTGTTACAGCTGAACAATTATTGTCCATTATTATTAATTTCTATCAATGTTGGTATTATGTTCCATGGAGTTCACGTGTTATCACAATAAGATTTCCAAAGCTGACGTTCGCTGACGAAAATAGTTATCTCCAAGTTCCCCTATCCCCAACTAACTCAGTTATTTCATAATTTCGGCGACTCCGTCATTTTCGCAAGTGAAACAAAAACATTGGTGTTTGGCAAACTATCGGATAACTCATCCCCAGTTATCAGCACTGCAAATTAACCACAAGCCCAAGCTTGAATGGATGAATTTTGCTCAGTATAGTATAGCACGTACTCGAAAGGTCAGAGGGCTCAACTTGGACGAAAAGTAATAATACCGTCCCAATTACGAGGAACCATCGTTGCAGTTCCGTGCCAAGTTTACAGTAACTCCTTTTGAGAGGCAGTCAACGCGGGATCAAACAGTGACCGCTCAGTAGCTTTACGCATCGATGGCTTTAGCATGCGTAATGGCTATTCATGTGAACACCGGGGGTGAGACGCAGTCGGATTGCAACTAATTCAGATGATCATGCACCTTGATGAAACGAACCACTGAAATCACTTCTCACTTTACTGATTTCCTACTTTACCGACCAGAGATGATCAGGTGTTAATTGCAACAATGTAGTCAGCGCATTTCGAGGGACAGGAAGGCATCTGCCAACGCCTGCACATTACCATTCAGGAGGATGTGGTTTAATTAACTAAGGGATGATGCCTTTCCTGGTTTGGTAAAAACAAGTAACACATTTTGGAAAAGTTTGGTAAAAATCGGTAGATTTATTGTTGAGCTTTAGATAAGCCGAATCGAGACGTCACAGTGTGGTTATCAATAAACGCATAATCATTACCAAAAAAGAGGGTGGAAGTTCCAACCCGACCAAAGTTCGCAGACTCCCTCGCTCACACAACCATCGTAGCACAAGCTCATTCACAAAGACGGACGACAAGTACAAACTACGTTCAAAGGAGATCATGTGAACCAGACCCTAAGTTGGACCCATGTCCTCTGAGTTCCCCCATTGGTTGAAAACTTTGTGACGCACCCTAGCACAAAAAATCCCTTGGCTGACACCTAACACAGGTTTAGCTTGGCTTAGCTATTGGTTCTCCTTCCACCTTAAATATCGTAACCCAGTCACTTGGCCTGAAGAGTCTTGTGTCTACTTAATCGGTTGCAAGCGTTCTTCAACTGATTGGTAACAGACTTATTCAATTTGCCAGAGGTAACCACGTCCAGGTCAGTAGATACGTACTGCTAAAACATAAAGGGAAGAAAAAGTAGGTGTGTCGAGAAAGCCAGCAAGAAATGGCGATAAGAAAATGTTCTGAATCAACGGGGGACGACAGAGTGACCTAATGGACGGGCGCCTTAAGAGAACTTCAACAAAAAACCTAAAATATTTGGAAACTCAGGTTAGGAAGAAGATAAACAGGGTGAGAGATTTCGTGGTAAACAGGAGCCGTCTTGTGGCTAGTGAGTTCTGCGTTGAATCCGCTCCATTTTAGAAACAACAAAACCACCAAAAATGCAAGCTTCTGCGGCGAATTCGGACTGAAGGTATCGTTTAAAGAAGGTAAGCTGGACGAAGTATTATCGTTACCGGGGGGGGGGAAGATGATAAACACAGAAGTATATGTCGTGCAAAAGAAGGTTGAATTAAGAGATAACAGTTGAAAATCAGATGTAAAAGCAGTACAGAGCACGAAGCAGTGAAACATAACGAAATTAAGCACACACTCTAACCTTACAAGGAAAAAGAGGTAAATGCACAGAATTTAAAAGTTGTAGTTGGGTGGGTTAACCACATCTGTAAATTGGTCTCGGTGATAGAGCAGTAGGTAGGGAGTGAGAGCCAATGAAAAGGGGTGATGTTGCAGTGCCATTTGTCGATGTTCTACAGCACGTACTAATAGAATAGCACGAAAGTGCAGAACCATGTATCCTTATTGTTTGTATTTTCATAATAACTTGGCAAGCGGAAGGTGGGTATCCCTTCTGGTGACCTAGAGTGACAACCCACATAAGGCGTTGAGTGGTGGTACCTTATCAGACAATAAAATGAACCACCTAACAACCAGGATTGGCTTATTTTCTTTGACGAAGGACATTAGAGCCAGGCATTGGATTGACCTGAGGACGAGCTGCATTTTATGGCCATTTCCAGAGGAGTAGAAAGGTTATAAAAAACCTGATAGCTTGTCAACGTAAAATTAGGAAAATAGGGAAACACAGCTTACGATCTGTTAGCATTATGTTTGTTTTCAACATTCCTGGAAGTATAAACATGCAGGGTCTATAATAGAGGTATAAAGCGAAAAGTGGGAAAAGAAATCGAAAACGTGGGTGGAAATTACCAAGGTGATAAACACGAAGCATTGTCCAGAGGCAAAACCTAGCGCATCCATAACGTGACTTTTACGTTTTTTTGATAGTACCGCAGGTATCTCATCCGATCTTAGACGGAGAAACGATAGTCACAGTTGGGTCTAGCAGGCGCTATCTATAGACCTATAGGCATTCCCTTCTACGGTCATGCAAAACGGTAGGTTAGATAATTGAGCCGTTCAAGTTAAGGAATCAGCTAAATATTCTTATTAACTATAAAATCAGATGAATAACTGGGGAGTCAATGTCTTCCCACGACGTCGTTTGGTATGTCACTGACGCATTTCTCAATTGAAGACAAGGTTTGTAAGAGTCCTTTGGATGATATGGAAGTAAAAGCATTCGGACTGGAACATGTTTCTTCACCACACACTGGCTTAACTTTGTAGTGAGCTGAGTTTTGAACGTTGCGAATTGATCTGAAGAATCGCATTGCTTCTGAAATTGTACAGGCACATCCATTCTTGGTATCTGAACCCTGTTGGGTCCCACTTCCAACTGTGTCTCTTTTATGACTCCATTGATTAGTAATAGTTGGCGAGTCTGGCAGCTTGCTGGCTTCATTTTCTGTGAACGTTCAGAACCTACCTCAATTGGAAAGTATTGAGTTTTGGATCAGCAATCATGATCACAATACTATAACCCTCGTCCAGTTCCAAAATCACGAATGGCACCATGAGTTGGAACTGTTTGGTCATTTGATAATGTTCGGAGTGTAGTCAACAGTTCGGGGGAGAGAAGACTCAGCCGTTACAGCGCGAATTTAATGACCGGAAGGTCCATGTTTCGAACCCGACCTCTGCCCCTTGATTCCCCCTACCTAAGCTTGGGCAACCTGGCAGTTTTCCAGCCCTTGTGCTTCCTTCTAGGTGGCATGGTAATTAGGCACCGAAGGGGCACTACGGCTGAACGACTAATTATATTTACATACGAACAGTTCGGTTGGACTGGAGAAGAGATGCCGACTAATTCCACTTCGGAGCGTTCTACGAGTTAGAACCTGATTGTGAGAGTTAGCAAACTGGACTTGGCTGTGAGGATGTTTGGTTTTTTTCATCAGAATTCCAAAATGCGGCCCTAACGATAAAATCTCCAACTGAGTTGGGATGACTTGAGGTGAAGATAGGACATGGACCTTCTTGGCTAGTTCGTCAACGGAGATCAGATATTCGCACACTGCAATCTATTCGGCAAGCTCGAATAACAAATCAAGAACCATCTGAGCAGCAACAAAAGAACCATCACGTTTCGCGTTCAGAAGCTGTGAAATCGAATGAAATGTTGCCACCCCGTAAGCCATCTCTTGTTGCTATTCTCATGAAATAGGTTAAGGGCATTAAGTGTTTTGAATGTAAAATTATGTGTAGGTAACTTCAATTTACGTTTGGTACCTAGCAGCCAAATGCACAACTGACATACCATTAAAGTACACAGAAGACTGGTAGTCCCGGATAACGCGCTTTAGTTGCCGCAGACACTGGACGGCTTCTCTAAGTCCTTCGTCTGCTCGGCGAATTCGTGCCTAGAAAGAGGGTCAAAAGAGGAAGATACAAGAAAGAGGCGCCTCAAGAAATGACTATATTGAACATCTCTAAGTGAACAGAAAGGGCTTTCGGAAAGTAGCTTTCTTATGGAGAGTACTGAAGTAAGGGAAAGGAGCATGGAAATAAAAACAATTCTCTTCCATAACAGATCAAGAAACAGACAAGATGATTTGGAGGTTCGTATCCCGAATGATCCAGTTAATTAGGGCATAGGATCGGCAACAGCAGCTGTCGGATAGGATTTTTTTCATTCCTCCTGAAGTGAGTGCCCTATGACCACCAGAAGAGGTTGTTTGTTATGGGGACGCATTCTAAGGTAACAACTAGAATGACCATTTCTACGAATTCGGCCACCATTTAGCTCCTGCTCGTTGTTGCAGCCGATCATCACACTTTATCACCTTCATTCAGTACAACAAAAGGTTCAGTGTGCGTATTCAAAGGTAAACTGTTCTTTAGGTGGATTTAGGTCGGATCTTGGCCCGGACCTAGTGAAACAAAATAATGCAGTGAGGTAGGCTGTTTCTTGGCGTCATCTCGCTAAAAGACCACGTTTCGCAAGCGGTTTCTTCGAACCAAACGAAGCATGAAGTCATTCAGTGTTCGGATGTACAAACGTGTTTCACACTCTGGTGCTAACTAATACACCCTTCATGTGCTTTTCAGGTGGCTTCCAGCTTAGCGAAAATAACACTGACAAAAAATAGCTACGCAACTGTAAGACATGGTCTAACCACCTAAGCTTAGCTGGGAAAGGATAGTTCTCAAGGATTTTCCGGGCCTTCCTGAGTCACAAATGAAACAATGGATGTCGCTGTTAATTACTGGTCTCACTACCAAACGCAAGCAAGTATTCGCGGATGGTGAGGTTCACAGACGGATTGGGGCTGAATGCCTCTGACACGTGAAAAACAAGGTTGACTGCTGTACAGCAGTACAGGCCGAGTACGGGCGGTGTAGATTTGTCCTTTCGATTAACCACTTAAGCTGGTCTAGGTTTGATGGGAGTCGCGAACTGTAGTTACCCTAGTCTTCAGATGGTCTTTAGAACTACCTGTCCTGAAAAGAAGTCGCGGGCAGATACACTTCAATTGCGCTTTGGACTTTTCAAAATGAGGTGACAAATATTAGCTGCATCTCATTGCATCCGGCCGTATTACTAAATGTAGGGTAATAGTGATATGGCGGCGTGATGACATAATGCACGTTGGCAATGTTGAGGAACATAGATAATTTCAAAACGGAGTTCGAGGTGGCCTCCTTCAACATAACATCTGGAATAACCCAGCAGATTTATATCGTTCAGCTGTAGCACCCTTTCGGTGCCTAACTGCCGTATTCACCAGAAGGAAGCATGAGAGCTACGATAATGCCAGGCTGCCCAAGCCTAGACAGGCGAAGTTGAGAGGCAGAGGTCGGATTCGAACCGCGGAACTTCCGGTCAGTAAATTCGCACTATAACCAGCGAACCATCTCGGCCTAAATGGAACATCGACACCGACCAGCCGTTTTCAACCGATATTCAGCGTGAGATATAAAGTTCACGGCGACAAGGCACGTGACCCGCATGATCTGCACTCTTCAAAAGGAATGATACGGTCCTGGTAAACAGTCTGACGATCATATTCCAGAAGATTTGGAACGAATGCAGAAGACGAGTTGAAGAGGGAGCCTCTACCGTCATCACAGTCTTCAAAAATTTTGCAAGAACGTCACATAAAAACTGTCGTGGCATAAGGCTGGTTACAATCGCATATAAGGGACTGTCTGACATTATTCTGTGCAGGTTGGTCGATCATTTGGAGAGAGAGATTCGTAAGAATCAAACTGGGTTTCGCCATAGTCAAGGGTGTATCAGCCATATCTTCACCTCGAGACAAGTTCTTGAGGAACACTACTCTTTTGAACGTCATATGTCAGTAGATTGTGCTGATATGAAAGCTGCTTTTGACTCTGCCTACCTTCAGAAACTGTGTCGGTGTCTAGCGAAGTTCAAATTTATATCATTATGAGGGCACTGTACGAGAGCCCCTGTGGACTGGTAGGGGTTTACGGCAAGATTTCGCCCGAGTTCATCACGTTCACTGGTGTATGACAAGGCTGTTCTCTCTTGTCTTTCCTCTCCAAGTTTGCTACCGATGTACTGCTTGAAATTTCTCTAAATGTCTCTGAAACGTCATGGATAGGAATACTTCCCGGACTTCACTCACAGACACTGTGTATCCGAACGGTATGGCTCACTTTGGTCCAGGTCCTCCAAGAATGCAAATCATTTTAAATAACCCAAATAATTATGCCACATTGTTTGACATGCGCCTTACACCTGCAAACTGTAAACTGCTGCTACAAGACTCAGTGAGGTAAAATCCAAACCTCATCCTTGCAGACGAGCCAGTCGACATGGAATATAAAGTCGTTTATCTGAGCAGTAGCATAAGTCCCGGTGGACTGGCTGAATTGTGATTAATTCACAGGTCGAGAAGCCAGCGTATAGTTTGTTGATCCCCGAAACGTATGGTGCCGAACTGACGTCAGTTTGTCCGTTGCACTGCGGCAGTGCCATGTATATTACTTTGTGAACCAAGAAAAAGGCCTGTAATTGCAGAGGACATACGGAAGTTGTCAGTGTTTAACGGTCGTTACCTCCTGAACATTGATAGTGTCTGGTGAGAACATTGGATTAGCAATCTTGAGTTGCTCTAGATGGTTTTAGGAAGAAGGGGTTTTTCTACGACAGATGAATCACCCATACTTCAGGGTTTACGCTAGTTAGGACATGTAGTCCGCGTGCCATGGGACCGTCTATCTCACAGTCTTCTTTTCACCCAACTCTGTGCTAAGCCCAAGTGACAGAGACCCAGTAAACACAGTGCCACCGGTGGCTAACGGTGGCTATCGGTGGCTTGAGGCGGCTAAATTTTGCAACGTTATTACCACTGACAGGCACCACGCATACAATCCTGATATAGTGATTTTTGCATATATGCCTTCTAAAATTATAGAAAACAGAACGAATAAGTTATTGGATCCCTGGGTAAAAAGTGATTTTCAACACCGCTTTGTTTTAATCCAGGGTCGATCAAATATGTCGAGGTGGGCGGTGTATTAACCGGCAAAGATATATGGAAAAAATAACCAATCAACTCTTTCTGGTCAAAAACTACCACCTCTGTGGATGTAGATCCCGTGACTCAACTCAACAACAGCTAACGATCGGGCAGCCGATGGCGCTTGAACATCACTACATAGCTGTTTAGTCTCCGAACTAACTGAACATGTCAGCGCCTCCAGGGCTTGATTGTATCCCCCACACTTTCCCACTTTCCGACGATCGAAACTGTGACAGATGAACTGAACCATTGCTTAATTAATCCAGAAACGAACCAGTGGACTGAACCAACAGCTCAGCTCAGACCAAATGCATTGGTTTTGGTCAAATATTGTCTAGTTTCCCGCACACATAGGCTGCGGATTTATCCGTGCTGCAGAAACAGTAGCCTAAGGGGCTTTGGCACAAGACATAGTTATTTATGTGGGGTTGAATATTACCGGTCGGGCACTAAACTCATTCTTGCTTTCGCAGTTAATCGAGGTATCTCACCACTCCTGTTGGGTCGACACGATATAATGGACTAGCGTTTGTTTACCTTTGGACCAAGCAACCACCAGACGAGACAAAAGATTGATATAGTCGACAGACGAATACGGGGATGTCAGCGGACTATCCAGTAGGAGCTTGAGAGGCGAAGCCATGCATAGGAGGCGCCGCCACCGGATAAAGGCACTACCTAACAGTTTCGATACAAGCTTGGTCGTGTTCTTGTCGAGAGGCCGACTGTGTTGCTGCAGCAACAAAAGAACCATGGTTCCTTCAAAGAAATAGACTGCTGAAATGCGCTCCGTGATCCTGACTTACATTCAAAGCCCAGGATATATTCAAAATACGACGCTCCTCAGATGATAATGTTTCCATTTAGCGCCCTCGGTTTGACATTGTTTCCCAACCACGGCGTCCACGTCGAAGCCGTGACACACGAGAACTGAAAACAACTTTAAAACCTGCGCACTGGAAAAGGTCATTCCCGGCGGATAACAGTCCCGCTCAATTCAATCTTGTCCATTCTTGTTCTGCGGCTGAAGAAGTTCTTGGGCTGGCAGAATTCCCTTGTCCGCTGAATTCCGTCCGAACTCCTTGCTAATTTATCCGAACACGCTGGTTAGGTCCTAGTCCGCTACAACGGTTACCAGGTGGTTATTTGCACCAATATAACCGTCAAATAACCGTGTTTTCCGGTCATTGCTCGGTTAAATAATCTATCAAATAATCGTGTTTGCCAGTTATTGCTCGGTTGAATTACCGTCAAATAACTGTTTGCCGGTTAATGCCCGGTTAAATAACCATCACATAACCACGTTTTTCGGTTACTGAACGGTTAAATAACCGTGTTTCCAAGTGGTTGGACATTAAATGACCGTCATTAGACTGCATTTCAACGGGAAATAATGGTGAAATCACCACTCTGTTACGGTAAATCGCTGTTATTAGACCTGTTTTATCGCGTTATAATGGCTTAAAACGTATACGTAACTACGCATCAACGTTACGAACTACACTGGTAACCACACGGTTAAGCGTGCATATCGTCGTACCCGATGCAGAAAATGGGTCTGAGTAACGGAATCTTTACACGTCGCTGTAAACATCAAACTTCTGCCACTAGTGGAGATGGTTCAATAACCGAGTTGAAAGGGTGTTATCGTTGACCGTTTACGCAGAGCACTTAGAGAACACAAAACAAGGATACAATATATATATATATATTAGATGTGCAAAAGTCAATGTTCCACAATTGAACCGAATCAGGTCGAAGGCAAATCCAATGTGATAATCCCGGCTTCTTGGTTCAGTGCAGACGTCTGAAACGGTGACAAAACATACGTATAAGCATTCGATATATCGATAAACTTGTCCAAGTGCAAAGTCGAACCTCACTGCCAACTGACAGCACACTTGCCCTAAATCAATAGACAATTGAGGACTGCACACTGCCATAGGCCCTGTTTATAGAACTTCACTAGACTCTAAGCCTAGAACGGCGTATAGAATTACAAAGACATTACAGAAGAGTGTAACAAATGGAAAACTACAAATAAGTCATTAAATAGAAGCATGGCGCACTTGCATTGCACAAAAGAGAGGGGACAGCTAATTACAGCTGTAGACAATTTGCTAACCACAAAAATATTTAGCAAAAGAGAATTAAGCGGATGGGTGAACAGTGATAAAACGGAAAGTAATGGAACATACGTTACTGTGCGGTCGACCGTGTCGGTATGTTCCACCCCTGTCACAATGCACGGAAAATCATCTACCAATAGAACGTTCTCCGGTGGGCTGTCAGATAAGACAACTTTACCAAAGTAAAAAAACACTTTTTATTTAAAAGGGAAGCCCACACTGCAATCGGCATGGTTACCTGGGGCGCTTATAAATCTGTCGAACGGGACGTGTGGGACATGGATATAAATAAATCTATAAAATTTTGTTAGCGTTCATTAGAACGACTGCCCATAAAAACAATCAGACCAATGTGAAGCAGCAGTTGACGAAACTGTCGCTTTCTAGGACGTTTCAGTTTGCGGTTAAGTGTCCACCTGGAAATGAGCAAACCACATTTGGAAGGCTACGGTTGTCATACATGCATCAGCAGTCATGACCTGACATTCATACAGATAGAAATTCGCAAACACGCGAAGACAGCAGCAGCGTAGTTCAGCGACGACCCAATGTAATATGCACGATACGCAAGCACCAGGGGACAGTGATTCTCCAAAGGCGGATGTTCACGACGATTTCCGTGGACGGAAAACAGAAACGAAGCTCATGAGCCAAACCCCAGTAAGCAAGGTTGTACATCACAAACACATACATATAAATCAATCAAACTGACAGACACCGTACACTACACTGTCGGGTGGGACGTCAGGAAGTCAGCGGTATTCGATGTTCGAGAGGATGTAGCGACGGCACACGACAGTTCTGAAATGTGCAGAGATACGGACTGGAATTAATGCGTCCACACGGTATACACAGCACACATGCGCACAGGTCGGGTGGGACAGAAGAGAACGCCGGAGCGTGGTAACGACACGCATGTATTCGAACGAAACCGAAACTGGAAGTCGGGGGTACAAAGTTGGGTCAAGGTCATTTAGGGAGTGTACAAGTGGGATACTCTTCCATGTCCAGGGCCCGTGGTGACTCGTCCGTGGTACCTGTAATAGGGGAGGAGAGAGAGAAGGAGGCACACATAAGGTCATGTGTTAAACGTGCAAGCCAATACAGTCAAGTTTCAACCGCGTTACAACACGAGTAACTGAGCTTGGCGCTTACGGCGATTTACTTAGACATTGATGCAGATAAACAAAAAAATGTCCGAACGGTTTTCTGGAAATCAAAGGGAATAATGGATTTTTGTCTTATGCCAACATTTTACATGATAAGAAACGCTTATGTGAATAAGTGTGGCAACAGCACTTCATGTTGTTTGGGTGATAGCTACACGGTTGAGTAACCATCAAATAACCAACTTTAACCGCCCTATAACCGACTAATAACCGAGTTGTGCTGCTGGGGAGGGCAACCCAAACGTCTCAATCGTCAGTCACAGTCCAGGTTGTTTTTTCCTTTTTCTTCCATATCAGTTACGCTTTCTGTATCTTAACTGTAAGAAAATTGCACAGTAATTCATGTCCTCACATTGACAAGGGCTGTAGCTATTTCCATGATGGCTGAATACAGCTACCATAACCTACTGACGAAAGCTTATATCCAAGAGAATCAAACGGGCTTTTGGACATAAAATGATACAGTGTTGCTACTGATGTCGTGATATCGCACCCACAACCCTACTGGGAGTTCAATCCATTGATTTTCCAACTTGTAAGTGTAGGACTACAATGAGGAACGTCATTGCCCTATCCATTATTCTCTTGTTTTATTATCCCAAATGCTGTACATGCACGTAAATTGGAATACTTACCTACTACTTGTTACACTGTGCTGAATTCTGGATTTCTAGTTCGTGTCGTTATACTGATATACGTGCTGGACTTCATTACTAGATTTTGGCGTCGCGATTGAAATTATTCATCATGCCTGCCGAAATGGAACCATCAAATATTAGTTCAACTGCGCGGGGCATAGAGGAGTCTTTGGGACGGTTCGACATATGTTGTCTTACAAAATCTAATATGGGTGATTGGAAACTCACGGCATATTTTCGACCTTTTGTTCGCAAGGACGCGTATATATTGATCAAGAATTCAGCAGATCCTAAATCTTCAATCGATATTTCCTGCATTGCATTGGAGAAAAATGTTCGACAGCACTCCAAGCCGATTAACTTCGTAGCATTCAAAAGAGCTATATGTTGAGCAGCTTCATTCTCAGTTGGTCTGTGATTTGGTATTGCAGCTGCAGACACAGGCAGCCTAATGTGGCCATAGTGCTCACATTTGAGACCAACCGCGATATAGACTCATTCCTGGCATTCAACTGCCGGAATAACATCAGAAGCTGCTGCTCTGTCAAGATGAAAAATTTCAAACTATTCGGAAAATATTCTAGGAATATGGAAGCGTAAAGCATGCAACGAAGACCCATGTAGCAGTGTTGTTAAATTATTTTAAAAGAAATAAGTCGAGGATGCAGACAGACAAAGTTCAAATCTCAAAAAAATTCCCCTGCCCCAAATCNNNTATGCCAACATTTTACATGATAAGAAACGCTTATGTGAATAAGTGTGGCAACAACACTTCATGTTGTTTGGGTGATAGCTACACGGTTGAGTAACCATCAAATAACCAACTTTAACCGCCCTATAACCGACTAATAACCGAGTTGTGCTGCTGGGGAGGGCAACCCAAGCGTCTCAATCGTCAGTCAGAGTCCAGGTTGTTTTTTCCTTTTTCTTCCATATCAGTTACGCTTTCTGTATCCTAACTGTAAGAAAATTGCACAGTAATTCATGTCCTCACATTGACAAGGGCTGTAGCTATTTCCATGATGGCTGAATACAGCTACCATAACCTACTGACGAAAGCTTATATCCAAGAGAATCAAACGGGCTTTTGGACATAAAATGATACAGTGTTGCTACTGATGTCGTGATATCGCACCCACAACCCTACTGGGAGTTCAATCCATTGATTTTCCAACTTGTAAGTGTAGGACTACAATGAGGAACGTCATTGCCCTATCCATTATTCTCTTAATTTATTATCCCAAATGCTGTACATGCACGTAAATTGGAATACTTACCTACTACTTGTTACACTGTGCTGAATTCTGGATTTCTAGTTCGTGTCGTTATACTGATATACGTGCTGGACTTCATTACTAGATTTTGGCGTCGCGATTGAAATTATTCATCATGCCTGCCGAACTGGAACCATCAAATATTAGTTCAACTGCGCGGGGCATAGGGGAGTCTTTGGGACGGTTCGACATATGTTGTCTTACAAAATCTAATATGGGTGATTGGAAACTCACGGCATATTTTCGACCTTTTGTTCGCAAGGACGCGTATATATTGATCAAGAATTCAGCAGATCCTAAATCTTCAATCGATATTTCCTGCATTGCATTGGAGAAAAATGTTCGACAGCACTCCAAGCCGATTAACTTCGTAGCATTCAAAAGAGCTATATGTTGAGCAGCTTCATTCTCAGTTGGTCTGTGATTTGGTATTGCAGCTGCAGACACAGGCAGCCTAATGTGGCCATAGTGCTCACATTTGAGACCAACCGCGATATAGACTCATTCCTGGCATTCAACTGCCGGAATAACATCAGAAGCTGCTGCTCTGTCAAGATGAAAAATTTCAAACTATTCGGAAAATATTCTAGGAATATGGAAGCGTAAAGCATGCAACGAAGACCCATGTAGCAGTGTTGTTAAATTATTTTAAAAGAAATAAGTCGAGGATGCAGACAGACAAAGTTCAAATCTCAAAAAAATTCCCC